TCCGATGACTACATCTCCTTTTTATGAACCCACTAAAATTATAGTAAATTTTCTAAGACATCAAAACAAAAAACGTGTGAAAAATATGATTCGTCGCATAGTTTCAGTGCTGAAGCAACACAGTGGGGTAAACTGTTGGCTGCAAGGAGCTCTTCGACCTATACAACTCGTGATGATAAATCTTCGGCATTTTTTTAATGATCTGTTGAATCCGTACGTAGCTATACACTATTGTCCAATAACACAGGCTACACGTACTAATACAATAAGTTGACTACATTTGGCTGATACACTTGCAACAAAACAGTATATATGCCATGATTTAAAAATACAAAACCAATGAACCAAACTAGGAAAGTACAGTGTCGTGCTGTGTCAATCCCGTTCGATCCCCACCGTGACACTTTACTAACTGAGCGAACACTCGCGCAAGACAAACGGCCCTATTCAGGACCACCACATCATTCAGAGAATGACTACCGTTACATTATTGTTTCAATATTGTTTTAATATTAACATCAGCTGCTGAATCTGATAGTTACCCAAATGATGATAATTATTTTAATTAATACTGTTTGTTTATTATGTTCTAATCTACGATAATAAATCTATTCACTTCCAAAATTTAGGGGGTTCGACCGAACCCCCCGAACCTCCCCAAACTACGGGCCTGCCGAGTGGTAGTTTTCGTCCTGAAATAGAATACTCTATTATTAATACTATAATAGGGATGGACACATCATTGTTTTCAATTCGACTGAGAATGCACTGTTGCCTGACTGTACACCTGCACGCTACAATGCACAACCTCAGACTAACTACCGGATACAGGCGAGTAGGCTGCAATACGGTTGGTACGTCAACCCAGGTCCCAGGTAGACATATCTATCTACACAATCGCGATTTGTTCAGTTTCCACGTAATTTCAAAGAGTATCGTAGTCTTGGTTTATTCATCTCCTAACAGACTGACTCGCGAAACGTATCTTAGCTGATCCCGGCCCAGCCACGTGTTTGCCCACAAAGTACAATTTTACCAATGTCAACAAAAATCGTCCATCAGTGTAATGTAATATTTTATTTATCCTGGTTAACTTAGCTAATTTCCAAACAATCAACTTTGTACAACTTCGACTAGAAATCTCGTACAAATACAGTTTAGAAGTGTGCCTAAATCGTGTCCGATATACGAGTTCAAGTGGCACGTCTCCTGCGACTAAAATGCCTCATTCAAGTTACATGCCATAGTTACAACTGAAATGTACAGCTTTGTGGAACTCGAAACAAGCACGCACACACGTACAACATTTAATATCGTGACATTTAACAGGAAGTGCACTAATTTGTATTACGTCATCGCGGTTATTATTATACTCACTTGATTGCATTCAGGGAATCGCTGTATGTAATATAATACAACAAATCCATGAAAAAAATTCACGTGCTCATTGAAATTAAGTAAACACAAAATTTGTATAATTTCAATATGTATTTTATACCAAAAATGCGACTTCGATTAAATACAGTAACTGTGCAGGCAAAGTTTTTAAAAAAGATCAATTTCAAAGGATACTTAAAGGGCGGTGGTCGTCGCCCAGCGCGTGCTCGAATTTTATGTAAACAAACAATGTTTTTACACGCGTTGTATACGTCGCTATGAGTCCCACATCGAACACGACGCGGCACGATGACCATCGCCCTTTAAATAATATTTTAATTTGTGATCAGATAGTAATCGCTGCCCCTGGCAATCGAGCCATGTACATCATAGCATGCGATATGAGCCTGATCGCGCACGAACGAGTTTGCTAACAATTAACTCCATAATACTACACAGTTATCAGTAAAAGTAATACAGATATGCAATCGGTGCTGTTGTGTGTGAACATTAGTCATCGGATGTCGTGAGTATGTGTTAGATGATCTCACCGAGTATGCCGTTTACAATAACGAGACACCTGGGCGATAAAGTGGTTTGATGTCTAGCGGTACTTTATTCGCGATCGTTGACCCGTGAAAATATTATACAGTCGTGATAACAACGCCGTCAACGTACACTGAATTATCTCGCATTGTTCACGCATCTCTCTTTTTTCTGGAGGCAACCTAGTGTCGATAACCGGAGTTTTTTTTAAAGGCGACCTGCAAAGTTTTTTTGTGTGTGTGTGTGTGGGGGGGGGGGGGCTTAGCCACAGCACATATGAGTATAGTAATTGAACACTGTCTAGGACATGGGTTTACGATATTCTGCTTCCCCGACCCTCAATGATAGGTAAATTGGTACTAAGAATATATTGCTATTTCCAGTTAATTTTCTTATTCGGTCTCCCAGCACGACAATGCTAACGCAATCCCTGGTCAAAGGGTTCCGATTTGGCATTCACAACTGACAGGTCGATATATGCCAATTTGACAACTTTTGTTTTTTTCGTAATTGATAAATAATAAAACATATGGTCACAAAACTACTTTTCGCGTAGTAAATGGCTAAAACAATGAAAACGGCAAAGTTTGAGCCATTTAAAACATTGGTTCCTACGGGGAAAAGAATTCATCATACCAGTATCGCTGGGTGTCGTATATATTGTAAAAAAAATGGTATGTTGTTATAAGATAGGCATTTCTGATTGTCGCGAATTATTTGGAGATTATTGGGAATACTATTTATTTTCCATGAATTCCTATGGAAATTCTTCCAAAAACGTATATTTTCGGCATTTTGTCACAGGAAAAGCCAAATTTGATACTAGATAAAGCACTCCAAAAGCTATGGCATATATCCATTTCTATAATTAGGTAGCACTTTTAAAACAAGATATTGTGATAAAATTTCCACCATATTGAATAGGTCGTAATATCCGCGAACAACCGTAACAGCGTCGTAGCATAGACTCTTGAATGCGTTCTATTTTTCTATTCACCCACTTCCTGCAAACTGTTTTACAGTGGCAAGTGTGATTCAAACCGTCTTGGTGGCGCAGTATTTTGAGTACTTTGGTCATAATGTGTTGGGTAGTTTAGTAGAGGCATATGTGTACACGATTTCACGTAATAATAATTCTTGCACAAAATTTACAGTGATCCGTAAATTATAATTCTATTTCTACATCGGCATGAGATAACGAAACATTTAATTAATACTTCATTTTGTTTAAAGCGTCACTGGTAGTTGTGTACATACATTTCCAGGTGGATTTTTTTGGCTGCAAAATAGTTGCCATTTCATCACCAGCGGCTTAGGTATCGTGTTAGTATAGCAATACTTTCTGCGCAGCAACCACACTGAGCACAAACTTTGTAAAGGCACGTAAACTTTTCTTAGACGAGCGGGAGTTAATGCTAGAACACACTTAAGATGTCGCCCAATTAAACAAAAAGAACTATTGATTGGACACCGGGAGAACAACACGTGACGTCACTGCAGCTCATTGACGCACAGTCATTCCGATCACCGGACAAAGACTGAGAGCTGAAAACGATGGCAATTACACGATCGATACGAGTATTCATAAATTCCATGACAACCTTTCAGGCGTTATTGATCCCAATTTGTACTTGAACGGTATTGATTAGAATCGCTCGACACAAAACTTGGCGTCGGCGTTTCGTCGTGTCTTTGTGCGATCTTCAGCCCGAGGTCACGATCCGTTCTAAATACAATGCCAATTGATATATGAACGACGGGGCACATGCGCATCAAATAAGTTGTTTTTAATCAAGTGGGATTGTATTTTAAAACAGAACTCAGGTAATCGTTTTATCGGAGGAAATATAGTAATTGTGACTCGAAAACAATTGAAATATATATGACCTTGTCCTTATATTTATAATTTTCTTTTAAAATGTGTCATTCCATGTATTACATTATTGACTTTGAATACGCGTGTAAGATAAGTAAAATAACAAACACACAAATATATTAAAAATAACGGAAGAACATTCTGTTCTACACAATTTATTTATTTAATTTATATTTATTACATGAATACAGCAAGATCAGGCAGTAGTACACCTAGCAATTTGCGAATACAATCCAAACTTGTTGAATGTTGACAAACGATCGAATGAAACGACAAAGCAGTATCGGGATAATCCAGTAATGACATACACACAAAGTTAAATATAAATCTGAATAGCGGTTTTCAAAAGAAATTAGGAAACCACAAATATTCGTCAAAAAGCATTCGTAATGAAAGCATTCAGAATACTAGTACTTCCATGCCGAGATTTCAAATGGCCTTTTTTGAAAATCGACGCCGGACGGACGGACGAACGATGGTGTACAATCAGTCATATAGCAAGCTCTGCGTAAGCTCAGCTAACGAGTTGAAAAAGGGGTTTATTAATCAATTTGTATTTTACACTGTTCTCACAATCACATTTCACATTCTTGTTCGCTACCCAATATGATAAAGAGGGTGGTGTAAACTGATAACACGCAATTCATAAAGAAAACGTAAGAGGGCGCTTTATTCAATGTATTTATTTACCACCGTATCTACGCCTTCAAGCTCGACTTTCAGCGTACCCAATACCATATACGGGACGTGGAATGACGTTTGGGTGCCACACAGGGGTTTGTAGCGCTCGTCTGTAACAGCCTTATCATTCATTTCGATTCATACCTCGCGTCAACCGGGCGTAGTGTTACACGACACCTGCGCCGTGGTGTGAAATACTATTGAAAGTGCAATTATGAAAACACACTAAGTGTTAGGGTAATTATTAGGCAATATTTGCGTAGAATTAGAGTGTGTTAAAGATAAACTGATTGTTTTTCCTTTTGAAGTGTTGAATTATCAATTATTCTAAGAGTCTATCACATTTATTGACAATAAACCAAGAGAAGTTATATAGTTATATAGTTATAAATTTGATTTATACATTAGTAACCAGTATGAAAAAGTATGAAATAGTTTGTGCAATTTGAATTTTTATTTCTGTCGTTCCCAAACCATTGTATTACAGTTTTGCAGCGGAACAAACCACATTTATTTATTTGGAAAACTAACCATTTATTAATCAATTTAAAGTAAATTCATTATCATTGAAAAACTTTGGATACTAGTATTCTACATTCTAGTGAGACGTCCATCATTCTGCATAATACTAGTACTAGTAATTACTTCTTTAAATCAAAGTCGAACGTCAGACCTGTGCCCTGCATCAGTTCTTCGTATTTTTTGGTGAAAGTCTGATTTAAAGCAACAGTAAAATGGTCTTTCCATCCACCAACTTTACCTGCCGAAAAAAAACGAGTAAGACATATGACACATAACTCCGTAACTGAATGTACAATTGTTGTTGTTAATATATATATATAACCTCACTCATCTTAAGTCTTAACTCCTGATGAGTTAGGCGTATATTATATATATATATATATATATATGTATATATATATATATATATATATATATATATATATATATATATATATATATATATATATATATACTCCACATATATGTACTCCATGTACCTTACGTAACAGTACTGTAGAGTCAACTTTACTCATGTAGTCGTGTCTTAATTTTTCTGTCCACGTGTATATATATATATATATATAGTGTAGATATGACAGTCGATTATTCCAAAACAAAAGTGCTCAATACAAAGTATATGTAGAGTTGGATTTAAACATAAAGCTCCTGATGAGTGAGGTACTTGTACCTTACGAAACAGTGCTGTCGAGTTTCAATATTCATTCAATATGACACTTCTTTAAACAACAAATTTCCCTACTCTTTAAAGTTCTCAGCATAGTATTTTGTAGTTTGCATTTCTTCATTACAATAATCAGAAATTGAATTTACGTCTTACCTTTTCGTACAAAGGGTGATTCCTTCATATCATAATGTTTACAAAACCAGTCCTTTCTTGCAATCGCACTTTTTTTCATATTCTCTATTTGACAGTGGTCTGTTATTTTATCAATGACGTCAGGAGATAAGTCTTTTCCAAGGAAAGCAGCAACGGTCTTAACTGCACCTTTTAAGTCCTGTCGAGTGAAAACACGAGTAAACGAGTGGTTTTGACAAACATCGCCGCATCTTGAAGTCGTAAGAGCAACCAGTAGTCAGTGTTCTCACATGTCAGGCAACTGGGATAAAATCGATTTGCTTAGCAACAAATAACTACTGTCAGGTGAGGCAAATTATGCATCCACCTGCTTATACATGTACGACTGAATTATGATAACAAAATTATTCACCCGTTTCATGTCTTCATATTTTATGAATAGTACATTATCGTCCATGCGTCGTTTCCACCAATGAATCACACTCTCAGACCAGACACCGTGAGCATCTGAAAAAAGCAAAATATTGTGATACCACAATAAGACTTTACGAATGTTTATCGTTGTTACTCTGATATGCATTACGTAATCACTCACCAACTGGCGTAAATTCGAAAAATCTTTCTGCAAGAACTTCAAATGGAGGCATTTCAATAAATGACTTCATTGCAGATGTCATTTTGTAGCCAGACACGGCTACATCCTTTGGATTTCTTGCCACGTATATTATCTATGATGAAGAACAGAATGTTGTTATTACATAATCATAGTGCATATTGTTTACGGGCATGGCGTTCAGCGTGAAATGCCAATACAGATAAAGTGTGGTAAACGTTGCCATTGCCCACTACTGGTTGATAATATGGAGATGTTCACTTAAATCAGTCTTTCATCACAAATTCAAAAAATAGTCCTGTTAATAGTCTTCATTTTCCTTCATTAAATTGAGACAAAAGTAGCCATTTTTTTAGAATAAAATAAAAATTGACTTAAATTTTGTCTGCTAGCTCCAAAATTAGCGTTCATTTCCAGAAATATTGAAGAATATAAGAAAAAGGTGAATAAAAATTTAGGCGGGAAAGTCTAGTGGTGAAAAGGATAAATTGAATAAGGTTTGAAAACCTTCTTAAGGTTGCTAAATAAAGTTTCTTGAAAGACGGTGGAATTTTATTTGTTAGCCATTAAAATCGTCAGCCTGCCATGAGATCACTTCCATTGAAAAACGATAGTCTTATTCTCAACAATGGAATTACATTATCGGAACTTCTAAATACACCTGACTTTTAAGCTCACGATTTCAAAATTACATCACAAAGATAAGAAATAATTCATATGGGAATAATAAACATATCTTGTCACGTTTTTGTAGATACAAAATGCGTCTTTCTAAAACTGCAGTTACTTAAAACACACTTATTCTACAATGCAATGTTCGATGGATAATAACGTCAATGTAATGATACGTTTCCTAGCCGATCATCATTTGTCCTGCAGCGATTACTTTGTTTCTATTTTCTAGGTACTATTTTCATGTTTATACACCGGACAAGCGAATGAAAGAACGAGCAGCCAATCAGCGACAGGGTCACAGCTGGTGGTTTTCCACAGTTATGAGAGACAAGCCATATTGTTACTGGCTATAGTTTCCCAAAGCAAACTTTAAAGCAGCTGGCCCAAATGTTTCAGTGCTGTTGTTGTTGTTGTTGTTGTTGTTGTTGGAAAGCAATAAAGCAGGTGTGGTCCAAGCGAAGAATTAATGTCAACAAATGGTTAGAATGAAAGAATTATTTGGCGGTGGGGAATGATATTGACCTTGTCTACTATATTAACTTAACTTAAATTGAAACAGCCAGTTGAGTAGTAGATTGCACTACGGAACATTGGGGAGTTGTTGTTAGTTATACTTATAATCTAACTAGCTACAAAGTAAGATAAAACAAAATGGCCGATTGATAGCGACAGCAATATCACGTCATATTGGATCATCACGTGATATTGCACACGGCACGATATTGCAGACTTGAACTCAACCAGGTATAGTTTTTGGAGGAGTTTGTATCAACACAGTGTACTATACCTTATTTTTCTTCTCGTGCAGTTGCTTTGGAAGATATTCAGGTTTAACGTGACTAACTAAAACACGAGGCGATTTAATATCTTCTAACTTCGTATTAGATGCGCCTTCAGCTTTTTTCGCATCGACTAAGCGTGGATCATCATTTTCCTCGATCACTTTTAGATCTATAAAGACTCTTTTTTCAAATATATCCATATCCATTTTGCCATCGTGCTGGATTGTTTGTACGATTTCAGACATCCAATGTGTACCTGCCAAGGGAGAAGAGCAATAAATAACTGAATTTACATGATCGAAAAAAACCTAACGTGACATACATGTATGTATATAGCCCAGCCTGTTTCCAAAGAAACACTACAGTAACATATACTGATGATATAGCCTCAACAAAAGATACACCAAATACCGGCGCCATTCGAGTGTCAATTGGTGTCCGGGACATCGCCCTCGGCATCATTTGAATCAGTTGTCGTCGGCCAATAGAAAATACTGTTTTGAGAAATTGTCCATATTGTAAATGACGAGCGACTTCAGAACCCTACATTTTCACGTCACGGAAGCCATTTCTCAGAATATTTAACAATGACGTCATAATCTATCTAAAGGGATATGTTTCTCGTGGTATAAAAGTCTGCAAATGCCGACACCCACTACATCGAATGGTCAGGCCCGGCAGTCAAAATCGTGGATTCTCATCAGTGTACATTGTCAATGCCCTTTCTACACAAATCACGTCCCGCATGCGAATCGACAGAACAAAAGAGCTATCATGATGATTCATCAAAGTCGGAGTTCAACAACTTTTTGTTGTCACCTGCGCATGCGACAGAAGGTCATGTCGTGTCTTTGTTTACATCTTTACAACAGTCTTCTAACCATGAATTTTTGCGTATTTATCTCCGAACTGACACTCAAATCCTGTTTGCGCGCAGGTGATGACCCCTCAGCGTTGAAATGACCCAAGTTTATATTCGTGACCCTGTCTTAACAACGGGGTCAGGGGTCATGAATGACGGCCGTTATATTCAATGATCTTCAACAACATTGTGTAAAAACAATAACAACATTTTTTTTGGCTGTATTTAATGAACTGTGCATGTTTCTAAACATTTTAAAGGACCATTCCACCCTGAAATCTGGCTAATATATTTTCAAAATATTTGTTAATATATTTTCTCTCCTGCCTATGCTATAAGTTTAGGAATGTACCACTATTCTCTAATATGAATACAGGTACTGTAAAATACTTTATTTTAGCTGGATTTGATTTTCGCTGAAAAAACATTTTGGGTGTTTTGCATGGAATTTATTTTTACTGATATTTGATGAACTGAGTGTAAAATATTGAAAAAAAGGTATATTTGCTGCATTTAATTTTCACTGGTTCAGTCTGAATAATTTCTTAAGCGAAAATTAATTCCAAACGAAAAAATAGTATTTTACAGTTGTGTGTGACTGTGTATATGTGCGTGAACTAAATCTTAGGTTGTCCGGGTTACATGTGTATGTAATATAAAACTGTACATTATATACAGTACACGTATACAGTACGCTATCTGACCGCACTCTGCAACGATTGGTTTGCTCATGGGGGTACCCCCAAGCTTAGCTCGATTAGGAAGTGACCCAATTTTACTGTCAGTGCTAGCATGGAACTATAGTTCTATGTAGCTGCAGTT